TAGAGCTTCCAGATTATTTCTAATCAATATATAGATATGACCAAAAAAGCAAGAAAACATTCTCTAAAAACAGATAATAAGGCGAATAGTTAAACTAAATGAAAAATTAAGCCCTGCTTAAGAGAAAACTTAAGAAATAAATTTCTTAACTAGTTGATAAGGATTTCCATGCAACGATAATACGGATAGAGACAAGCATAGATATATATCCAATATAAGCGAAAACACATAACCTCCTGTCTACTATGATCGATAACTTCCATTAATAACACCTTAATATTACCACAAAAAAGTCAGTTATCATAAAAGATTAATTACGATTAGCATTGTTATCACATTTGAAATCCTCATTACTTCCATCATAGTTAACCACTTCACACAAGATATTGAGGTTCAATCATTACTTAAATATTCAATCTTAGCCATGCTCACCAAGTCTCCTTGGTTTAGTCCAGAGGTACCGGCGTCTAGAATTGCCTGCAGCTCGGGCGACAACTGAACTTGTTGAACAATGGTCTCAGCGGACAATTGATGCCGACATTCCCCTATCTTTTCGCCTATAAGTGGTCGGCTAACAGTACATTCAGTGGCTTCAGCTAAATTATCGATAGAACCTAACCCAGTGGTACTATTTTTACTGATTTCCACAAGTTCACCAGAGACGTTGCAAGGGGGAGATGAACAAGATAACGAGATGGCGTTGGCACAAATGGCACTGTTGTTATTACTGCCACTTGAAAGAGATACTCCAGAATATATAATCCCAAGGGATGGATTGGGCGCGGTGCAATTGATAAAGCTATTCCCGGCACTCCCCAAGCTACTGGTATTTGTTGAGGATATATTTGCTCCGTCGGACTCGCGTGGCTCATAAACTTCGGAGAGATGGTACATAACGTCGTCGAACGCCCACTGAGACTCCACCCCAGTCATCCGTAGAGGATCTAGCTGCTCAAAGAAGTGCTAGAAATGGATATATAAACAATATCATTTAGCTGGAGCATGTTATAATGAGAAGCAGCATCTCAAGGTATTGTCTCTAAGTCAGATGAATTTGACTCAGGACCTCTCCATTTACAATATAAAGAGAATAAGATAGTGAAATAAATCTTGCAAAGGCCATTAAAATGGATTCTCATAATAAATTTTCTCTATATTAAAAAAATTTTAAGCGTGTAGATTTAGATTATCCAAATATCATAAGCATGTTGGTAAGCTGGATTCCAAATAAGATAATCTATAATGTCTTCGCTTCATTCGTGATAGTCGTATTTCTGTAGGCCTTTGGCTTAGCAACATAAAATCCAGTGAAACTTCGGCGGATTTTTATATAAAAATGGTCTAAGACAACTAAGCTCTTATTTAATATTACGGATGTATTCAGGCCGAGAAGCTATTATTAACCTTACTTAACCTGGTTGCCAAGCTAGGAATAAAGAAAGTCAGTGTAACATAATACGGTTTTTGAAAGTGAATATGATCTTAGATATGAAGACCAAGATAGAGTGGCCTTTTGTGTAGTCGCAGTCTCCTTTCGTTGTATAGAAGTTGTTTGACCTTGTTTTCGCAACTTGG